GTAGAAAGAAACATATAAAGCAATTTTAATCTCATAGTTTAAGGGAAGACAGAGAGTGTATACACCAACATCATTGTGATCAATTCTGAGCCATGTCACCAAGAGTCTCCAACCATTGGTTACGAAAATCACGAGGACCCCAACCAAGTAGTCTGCATCTACCAACATGGCTCAGACTAGAAGTTAGTGTCTTCAAGCATTCCAAACATTCTGGCATTGTTGCGTAGTGCTTCCAAAAGACTCTGCATTTTATCAGCGTCTTCACCAAACAGGACTATGTCATCTGCGTATTCTAAGTCGATAAGTGGACCTCCTGGATGGAGATCAACACCCGAGAACTCAGTCGACGAGAAAGTTATTTCCATCAGTAGATCTATGATGAAGTTAAATAAAAATGGAGAAAGTGAACAGCCTTGACGGACACAACTCGAGGACGCAAAAGCAGATGACAGTTCGCCGTAAGCTATGACTCGACGTGTAGTGTCTGAGTAAAGAGACTTCACAAGAGTTATGTACTTCTGAGGTACGCCTTTCAATGACAGACACTGCCACAGAATCTCGCGGTCTACCGAGTCAAATGCTGCTTTTAAGTCAAGAAAGACCATCATTGTCGGACGCCGATAAGTATGCCTATGTTCTAGGACCTGACGAATGGTGAATATGTGGTCGATGCAGTCACGACCAGGTCTGAAGCCAGCTTGATTCTCTCGTGTTTGCAGTTCACGAGTCTTAGTTAGGCGTCTGATAATTATTGAGGCTAGTATTTTAGATACTATATTAGTCAAACTAATCCCTCTATGGTTGTCACAGGATGATTTTGACCCTCTTATGTATTGGGACAATCAGCGATTGCGACCAGTCAGATGGAATAACGTCTAACTCCCAGATCTTAGCTAAAATATTAGTCAACCTAATCGCTAAAATTGTACCACCATCCTCAAAGAGCTCTGGATCCAATCCATCTGGACCAGCTGGTCTTCCTCGTTTCAGATTAGCTATAGCCTTTTGAACTTCTGCTAGAGTTGGGGGACCTACTCCAACGTTCCATTTACACTGTCTGAAAATGGAGGGTAGTTGTAGAGTAGCTGGAAGCCAGCTGAACTGTTCTCTGAAATGTTCGGCCCATCGTTCTAAACGTCTGGACTGGGAGAAGATGAGAGTGTCGTCTTTTTCCGAAATAGTCTGACTTACACTTGACTTATTAATTCCAGTCTCTTTTATTAGTCTGTTAAGCTGTCTTGTGTTCTCTATAGCTGCCGCCTTTCCCATCTCTTTTGCGTCGTCTGGAATTCACGGTGTCGTCGATTTTGACTGCAACTATGACCTGTCTTTGCGCTTCACTACTAATTCTCACTAATCCCTTCAGTACTTGACACTAAAAAAATACATACCGGCCAAACACTCATAGATGATTTAGGTGACTGTTCTGGTTTTGTGTTATGGTTTTTTCATGTATAATCTCATTTGGCTAAATCCTTCATTCGCTGACTATTCAAAATTTGTGCATTGGGTCCGTTTTCATTTGATAGAGTTAGCTATCTGTGTCAGGTGTTCTGAAAATTTTTGTGATTCGTACTTTGGTTCTGTATATATTTTGTCCGAACCACACTTGGTTCGATTCACGAAAACATCTCGGTTGCTTTTTTCGTTTCGTAGTTTTGGTTCAATCAGTCCGTCAGTCAGTCAGCTACAACGTAGGACTAGGCACATATATGCATCAGTTCAAGTTGCCATACCTCATTAACACAACCAGATGGACACCGGATTCATGGAAGTAGTTAATCCAATGGTGGTAATATATAAAAGAAAGATTGTATGTAAGGATATAGTACAGGAAGAAAGAATTAGTTCGTAGAAAGAAACATATAAAGCAATTTTAATCTCATAGTTTAAGGGAAGACAGAGAGTGTATACACCAACATCATTGTGATCAATTCTGAGCCATGTCACCAAGAGTCTCCAACCATTGGTTACGAAAATCACGAGGACCCCAACCAAGTAGTCTGCATCTACCAACATGGCTCAGACTAGAAGTTAGTGTCTTCAAGCATTCCAAACATTCTGGCATTGTTGCGTAGTGCTTCCAAAAGACTCTGCATTTTATCAGCGTCTTCACCAAACAGGACTATGTCATCTGCGTATTCTAAGTCGATAAGTGGACCTCCTGGATGGAGATCAACACCCGAGAACTCAGTCGACGAGAAAGTTATTTCCATCAGTAGATCTATGATGAAGTTAAATAAAAATGGAGAAAGTGAACAGCCTTGACGGACACAACTCGAGGACGCAAAAGCAGATGACAGTTCGCCGTAAGCTATGACTCGACGTGTAGTGTCTGAGTAAAGAGACTTCACAAGAGTTATGTACTTCTGAGGTACGCCTTTCAATGACAGACACTGCCACAGAATCTCGCGGTCTACCGAGTCAAATGCTGCTTTTAAGTCAAGAAAGACCATCATTGTCGGACGCCGATAAGTATGCCTATGTTCTAGGACCTGACGAATGGTGAATATGTGGTCGATGCAGTCACGACCAGGTCTGAAGCCAGCTTGATTCTCTCGTGTTTGCAGTTCACGAGTCTTAGTTAGGCGTCTGATAATTATTGAGGCTAGTATTTTAGATACTATATTAGTCAAACTAATCCCTCTATGGTTGTCACAAGATGATTTTGACCCTCTTATGTATTGGGACAATCAGCGATTGCGACCAGTCAGATGGAATAACGTCTAACTCCCAGATCTTAGCTAAAATATTAGTCAACCTAATCGCTAAAATTGTACCACCATCCTCAAAGAGCTCTGGATCCAATCCATCTGGACCAGCTGGTCTTCCTCGTTTCAGATTAGCTATAGCCTTTTGAACTTCAGCAAGAGTTGGGGGACCTACTTCAACGTTCCATTTACACTGTCTGAAAATGTAGGGTAGTTGTAGAGTAGCTGGAAGCCAGCTGAACTGTTCTCTGAAATGTTCGGCCCATCGTTCTAAACGTCTGGACTGGGAGAAGATGAGAGTGTCGTCTTTTTCCGAAATAGTCTGACTTACACTTGACTTATTAATTCCAGTCTCTTTTATTAGTCTGTTAAGCTGTCTTGTGTTCTCTATAGCTGCCGCCTTTCCCATCTCTTTTGCTTTCGTTACCCATCACTGCTCACGGTCGTTCCTTAGACTTTTTCTTAACCTAGATCTGATTTGTTGTCGCTCTTCATCGTGTTCAGAGCCTGATGGGATGAGTTTACGAGAATCCTACTTTTGGTTTTCTCGCTACTCAATTAAGTTCTAATGGGTCTTTTTGGTGTGGCTTTTTTGCGTCCAGTGAGGCGCAAGCAGATGCGTGCCCGTATTAGGGCATGATCAGAGTCCAAGCAGGTACTCCAGAATGAGCGACAACCTTCTACCGACCCTCTCAAACGATGACTGATGGCAATTTGGTCTATTTGAGTCCGTTGTTGGTTTGGTGTAGGGGGTCGCCATGTTAGACGATGTCTCTTCTTATGCTTAAAATTTGTGTTTGCTAAAAATAAACGATTGTCTGAGCACAGTTGCAGCAGACGATCATCATTATCTGTTCGCTGTGCCAGAATACTAAAAGGCCCACCTAAATGCCTTTCTGTTTAGTTTAAACTACCTATCTGGGCATTAAAGTCACCTGCTACGAGTACTATGTCTGAACGTTTAGCTTTCTGTAAAATTCATCTTTCACTTCATCTGAGCTACAGTCGATGGGAGCGTAGGCAGAAACGACAAAAAGGCAACGACGTGTGTCCCTATCCTTCCGAGTTCTTACGGGGCCGTTTAGCCGAACAGCACATAAACGACTGTTAAAGGGGATCCACTCTAACAGTGTTTGTTCCGCCCGCATGTTTAGTGCTATGCCCACACCTGCCAGTCCACGAGAACTGACCGTCGGGTCACTAAATACACGGAGGGTGTATCTCGGTGGCTCTCCGTTTTGCTGAGGTGAGGCCAAGTGAATGACCACACTGGGATCCTGTATGCGTGTTTCAGAGGTACAGCACACATCAATGGTACGAGATTCTGGGGTTCTAGCCAGGGAAGCCTGTTGACCGATTTGACATAGGGTGCATACGTTGGAGGCTCCAATGTGTAGTTTGGAGTGAGGTTTCAGTAGACCTGAGACAGTGTTTTGAGCACTAGAATTGTTGGCTATGGTGACATTTGAGGGGGAAGCCTAAAAAGAAAGTTTAGAGGTGAAAGTCGATGTAGGAGGAATAATAGGAAGTGAAGAGGGAGGTTGATTATGAATACAGTGGTTTTGAGTGCTGTTAGAGGTACGAGGGCGGTTATCGCTTCCCGGTTGCCCACACTGTGGAAGGGTTGTTCTGGAGGTACCTGAAAGGAAATTGGACTAGAGGTGGTCTTAGTGACCTGAGAGCGTGATCACAGTGCTTAAGGGACAACTGCTTGAGGTCGGTCACACACGACCTTTTTATAGGTAGTTTTTGTGTTAGCTCCGTACTTGTTGAGACCTTACCGCCGGAGACGGATATCCGTGGGATAAGGCGAGGTGTGCATTTTAGGGTCGACCTTTTCTAACCCCACCCCTCCTTGTGGTAAGGCAGCATCGCTGTCATGCTGGTTGTCTGAAGAAAACACCTTACTGCTGTCACACCTCTGTACAGTCAGCAGTACGACCTCGCCTTCGGACCTTGGGTTTGTTGCTCTTAGTCTTACCGCTCTTCAACCGACCTGTCTGACATTGTAGGACCTTGAGGAACGGTTGTTCCAGACAGTATAGTTCGGTTGCTTCATCACGATAGGCAAGCCTGATCACCACGTCAAGGTAGCAACAACGGTCGGGTTTTGGTTCAATGGACTGATTCATTTTTATGTGGGGTAATTTTTCAGTGTATTTATATATGAGTGTTTATTTTGTTGTTGTAATAACTCCATCGTTTACCTATGTTGTTTTAGACTCCAGTCATGTTCAATTGATCACTAGAACTGAATGTTAACTTCGTTTGTTGCTTTTCGAGTCATAAATGAATCAATCTCGTTCTGTTCTTAGACAGCTAAAACATTTTTCGTGTGTACGTTATCTAGCGTAAGAAATGAAATATTCGAAATTCGGGTTTTAAATTTAGAATAGGTCTCTCTGATAATGGAAGTTTTGTCTTCTCACAGAAAAGTGTCGGTGCTGATGTTGATATGGTTAACTATAATACACCTGGAATTTATTTTGCAGCTTACAATCCAGAAGGATTTATTTTAAATACAGGTGTGAAGGTGATTGGACCATGCGCTGCTTTTCCGCGGTTCGCTCTTAGTTGGAAGGTATGTTGTTTAGTTAGCTCGGTTATAGATAATGTGAACTTTTTATTTAAGGTGAAAGATGCTTTGGATATTTCTGAGGAGTCTCTATCTTTGCTTTTCATGCTGGAGCCTCCACTTGGTATGTTGATGGTTGTGCTATGTTGCTGAATGATTAACGATTATTTCTACAGAGGTTCTTATCATTGGTAAGGGAGAAACAAAAAGTCCAGTTGATTACCAACGAATACTAAATATATGCTGGAAACATCGTCTGCCTGTGGAAGTGATGTCAACAGTTAGTGTTCATTTTTTCTACTTTTGTAGTTTATCAGTTCTTCTAATGTTCTTGAACTTCTTAAGTCTGCTTATTTATTTTCTAAAATTATAGTCAGATAATATTGATTCTAGCTGAATCCACCCCAGTCCTTACCGTAATGCACATGGTTATTAATAACTATATCAAGACAAAACCCTACGGCTGTTTTTGAGCCATTCAGTCAGTCATTTAGTCGCAACTTAGAACCTGGCACGTATGTACATCGGTCCGAGTTGCCATACCCTATCGAACAGAGATGAAATTGTCAGACTGAGTCCCAGAATGGAAGAGGTAGTAACAGTATGAGTGGCGATAGAAAAGATTAGGCATCGAAAATACGATTCGAGAGGAAAATATGAATTAGTAAAATAGAAAAGAGTTACAAGAAATTCAGAAGCTCAGAACTTCAGAGAAGACGAAGAATGGACGCACATGCACCATCGCAAATGATTTCGAACCATGTTAATCAGTCTGTAATCACTGTTCGCTATAATCACGCGGACACAAACCAGATAGTCTACACCTGTTAACACGGCACAGTCCGATTGTCGCTGACTTCATGGACTGGTGCCATATTTTAGTTTACTTGCCCCTTTCGTTCTTCCAGCCTACTTTTGCACCTAGCTACCCATCGAGGTAGGAAGTGGTTGGGCATAAATAACACGTTTTATCCGCCTCAGTTGATGAAGATGGCCATTCCTAATGGCCAGGTTTCGTACTCATAGAGTAAAATGGGGCGTACTTCTGGGTGTCAAACTCGTCCTCTGGCTGGGAGATGCAAGGCAATGGTGAAGCAATAGCTTTCATCGTTGCTTAAGTTGATCAGGAGACTACATTTTATCAGCGTCTTCACTAAACAAGACTATATCATGTGCATATGCTAAGTTAAGAAGTGGAAGAACAAGCTCTGAAAAGTGAGATGACAAAAGCGTTATTTTTAAAAGTATATCTGTGACGAAGTTAACTGGAAATAAGAGTGGCGGACAACCCTGACTAACACCAATTGAAGTAATAAATTGTGATAGCAGTACTGTGTGATCTCTGACCCAACCAGTACTGTTTGATTAGAGAGACTTCAAGGTAGACTTGCTTCTTTGGCAAGCCTTTAAATGGTATACATTGCCGCAGAGCCTCACAACCAACAGAGTTGAACACCGCACTAAGGTCAAGAAGTAGAACTATATTCGGGCGTCGAAAAGTATGTGTATGTTTCTGAATCTGCCGAGGGGTGAGTATTTGGTATGTGTATTCACGTTCAGATCTGAAACCAACTCGGTTTTCTCGGGTTTGGTCTTTGTGGGTTTTAGTTGGGCATGAAACTATTATTGTGACTAGTATTTTAGATATGATATTCATTAAACTGATGCTTCTGTGATTGTCACGAGAGGAATTTCACCCTTTCTGACAAACTCGGACGATCAGCGATCGAGACCAGTCAGATTAGATTTCGTTAAACTCCCGAATCCTAACTAAGACCTCAGTCAATCTAACTGCTAAAACTGAGTCACCATCTTTAAAAGTCTCAGGGGTTAGTCCATCAGGCCCTACTGCTCTTTCATTTTAGATTATTTATATCCTTTTCAACGTCTCTCAGAGCTGAAGGACTTAAATCACTGTAATTCAAGTTGCTCGGAGACAGTGGGTTACTGAAATGTTGCTGTTAACAAGTTGAACTGTTGTCTAGTGTTCTGCCTATAGGTCCAATCTCCTAGATTGAGTGAATAATATGCCGGTGTTTTTCCGAGATAGCCTCACGAACCTCTGGGTTTTCAATACTCGTTTCCTTGATAACTCCGAATAGTTGTCTACTGTAACCTATCACCACTTCCTTTTCCATCTTTTCTACTTTCGCTACTGTTGTAATTTCTCTTATCACGACCCAGCTTCTCTTATTGCTTAGTATTCTTCGACACCACCTCACTCGATAAGTCCCCAAATCAGAACACTATTAAAGGGGAACGTTATTATATTCCAAATAAAGGGGTTGAATGAAAGTAGGAATCTCCCTAAAATCTCTTCTGTAGTCGACTTTTTGACCCTCAATGCAAGTGGACCCTCACACTAGATCCAACGAATTCGCTCAAAAAGAAGGTATTAGAGAGATTATTACTTCCACTCAACCCTTTTATTTAGACCATAATAACTTTCCTCTTTAATGGTGTTCTGATATACGTACGTACGAAGTTCTACGTTGTTACTGACTGACTGACTGACTGACTGATTCGGGGACTTGTCGAGTGAAGCAGTGTCAAAGAATACTAAGCAATAAGAGAAGCTGGGTTGTAGTAGGAGAGATTATAACAGTAGCAATCACGAAAAACGAAAACTTAACAACTAAACACCACTATTCGTGATCATGGAGTAGGCTTCTTATCAATCTACGTCTCTCATGATTTTCGGAGTCATACGGGATGAGTTTCCTTATATTTATCAGTTCAGTAGATGCCACTGGAATCCACTGATTTATATTAACATTTCGGTTTTATTTACTGGTAAATATCATGACTGTTTTTACAGCTTTTTGGATATCATGCCAAGGAATCTCTCGGTGGATATCACTTTCATGGTTGATGGACTTCTCTAATTGTTTCTGAAATGCATTTTTTATTTTCCCATCAGGTCGAACTGTTATGGTTTTCTTACTGTGGCTTTTCTACATGCAGTAAGATACAGACAAATGTGTTCTCGAACTAGAGCATGATTTGAGTCTAAACGTGTGCTTCAGAATGAAACACAGTCTTTCGAGCCTCTTGAACGATGGCTGATGGTAATATAATCCTCTTGAGTAGTTCAGCTGGCCTTCAGCTACTCTACAGCTATCCACCATTCCCAAACACTCTGAATGGGACATTGAATTAGGTCCCCCAACTCTAGCAGAAGTTCAAAAGGCTATAGCTAATCTGAAACGAGGAAGACCAGCTGGTCCAGATGGATTGGATCCAGAGCTCTTTGAGGATGGTGGTACAATTTTAGCGATTAGGTTGACTAATATTTTAGCTAAGATCTGGGAGTTAGACGTTATTCCATCTGACTGGTCGCAATCGCTGATTGTCCCAATACATAAGAGGGTCAAAATCATCCTGTGACAACCATAGAGGGATTAGTTTGACTAATATAGTATCTAAAATACTAGCCTCAATAATTATCAGACGCCTAACTAAGACTCGTGAACTGCAAACACGAGAGAATCAAGCTGGCTTCAGACCTGGTCGTGACTGCATCGACCACATATTCACCATTCGTCAGGTCCTAGAACATAGGCATACTTATCGGCGTCCGACAATGATGGTCTTTCTTGACTTAAAAGCAGCATTTGACTCGGTAGACCGCGAGATTCTGTGGCAGTGTCTGTCATTGAAAGGCGTACCTCAGAAGTACATAACTCTTGTGAAGTCTCTTTACTCAGACACTACACGTCGAGTCATAGCTTACGGCGAACTGTCATCTGCTTTTGCGTCCTCGAGTTGTGTCCGTCAAGGCTGTTCACTTTCTCCATTTTTATTTAACTTCATCATAGATCTACTGATGGAAATAACTTTCTCGTCGACTGAGTTCTCGGGTGTTGATCTCCATCCAGGAGGTCCACTTATCGACTTAGAATACGCAGATGACATAGTCCTGTTTGGTGAAGACGCTGATAAAATGCAGAGTCTTTTGGAAGCACTACGCAACAATGCCAGAATGTTTGGAATGCTTGAAGACACTAACTTCTAGTCTGAGCCATGTTGGTAGATGCAGACTACTTGGTTGGGGTCCTCGTGATTTTCGTAACCAATGGTTGGAGACTCTTGGTGACATGGCTCAGAATTGATCACAATGATGTTGGTGTATACACTCTCTGTCTTCCCTTAAACTATGAGATTAAAATTGCTTTATATGTTTCTTTCTACGAACTAATTCTTTCTTCCTGTACTATATCCTTACATACAATCTTTCTTTTATATATTACCACCATTGGATTAACTACTTCCATGAATCCGGTGTCCATCTGGTTGTGTTAATGAGGTATGGCAACTTGAACTGATGCATATATGTGCCTAGTCCTACGTTGTAGCTGACTGACTGACTGACTGATTTCATCGTTGATTCTATCGTAGAGGTCACCATGTCAGCCGTTGTTCTTCCTTATGTTGAGATTTGGTGCTTGTCGACGGTTATCTGCGCATAGTTGCAACCGTCGGTCTCTATTATCTATTCACTGAGCCGCGTCACCGTGTGATCTGTCTAAGTACTTTTCGGTTTGGTTCAGTTTACCTACATGAGTAATAAAATCACTTGTAATTATTTCTGCATCAGAGTGTTTAGCTCTTCGTTCGACGTTGGATAGCTTCCCATAAAAGTCATCTTCAGCTTCATCTGAGCTGCAGTCATTGGGAGCTTAGGTAGAGAGAACGAGGAAGCAGCGACGTGTGTCATTATCGTTCCGAGTTCTTACTGTCCTGTTTAGTCACACAAGGAAATTTTTTTTGGAATGCAGTCTGGCAGACCCTATTCTACTGGTGAACTTAGTCATACACTCACAAAAGCGAGGCCACGGGCAGTAACAGTGTTGGTATCTAGGTACACAAGGAGTAAAACGTACCTGTTCTTTATATGGACAAGGTTAGGTCAAATGAACGACTGTACCTGAATCCTGTATGCGCGTTTCAGAGGCGCAGCATACATCGGTGGCACGAGATTCTAGAGTCCTAGTTAAAGAAGCATATTGTCCTATCTGACACAAGGTTTGAACATCAGAAGCTTAAACATTTAGCTTAGAGCGTGTTTCAGGAGACCAGAAATAACAGTTCATGAACTGAAATCATTAGCAGTAGTGGTGTGGTGATAAAAATATGCGAGAATTGTTAGTCATGGGGATGGAAGAATTATTGGATGATGGAGGTATTTGATCGTGAACAAGATGATCTTAAATGCTATTAGAGGTATGACGGCAGTTGTCAATTCCCTGCTCCCCACATTATGGAAGGATATTTTTTACTGAGGGACCTGGAAACAAAACTGAATTAGTGGTGGTCTTAGGGAGCCGAGAGCGTTGCCGCAGAGCCAATAGGACAACTTGAGGCTGGTCGCGCACGGCCTTTTTATGGGAATTTTTTAGTTTGTTATCTCCACACTTCAAAATGCCCCAAATGCCGTGGTACAGCCGAGAGTGAGGAGAGTTCGCCCTCCCTCTCGAAACGCTCTCACATGGCCTCAGGTATGCAGCCACTGCCAGAAAAGTCCTACTCACTGCCTTCTTGCGGCGGGTGTGTTGCTCAATAAGTTGAGGTGACAACCGAATGTCCGGCTCCCTCATTGCGTTGGTGGATATGAAGAATCCACCTAGGGCATTTGGTGAATCCTGGTTCCAAACCAATGGTGTACATGGGCTCCAGGATCCTGAAGGAACAAATGGAGTATGAACCTGTCGTTGGTCACCGAATACCGTGGGACTACGTCTCCTGACGTTGCTCCACTGCATTGTGGATTAGACCTTTAGGTTAAAGGCTCCGAGTATGGCCTCCTAATGAAACCATGTGCTCCGGTTCGAACACCCGGGCAGTACTACAGGCCTCACACAAATCAATGATAACTACTACTGACCTCACTGTTACTGTGTGGCGCATATGTATTTGGTGCCCCCTTGTACCAATGTTTATGTGTCCAAGTAAATAAATAATACTATTCAGAGGAAGAAAAACTGCTTTATTTCCAAAACAATTATAATTGGGGTTCGATTATATTTATTAGTATCCAGAGTGATAGTATTAGTTATAAATAAATACATCAAAATATCAAACAAAATCTAATTATCAGTAATGCTAATTGTGTGAATCTCGCAACTAATAGTTGTACTACTACCAATAATAATAATGTTGGATTTTTTCATATATGTTGTAACAAAGGACGACTAAGTATGGCACATACTAATCAACCTAACTGGCTAGGTCCTAGGGAAACAAGATTTTTGAGTCATCCGCATTTCACCAATCCAACTAAGGTTAAAGGACAGAAAGTATAAACAATAAAATATATTATTCAGTGGTTTAAAACAACGCTTGTATACAAAATATTATCGGTAAAATAGGTTCATGGTCTGCAATTATAGATCCGTAATTATTGTCACAGTAAATCAATTATGGAAGTACTGCACAACTGTTCTGGTTAAAGTAGTCAGTGTTATAATTTTATAGTGTTGGATTCTAGATCAACTGAGTTATATGCGCTAACAAATTGCATCATTAATAAAGTTAAAGGAGCCATAAAGAAAAAAGCTTATCGAAAACTGTTGTGTACTATAATACCCTTTGTCTTTTTACTAGTTTATGAGTATTAAGTTGCAAAATAACTCATTAATGAAAGGGAGGTATAAATCAATGACTTGCACACTTTTAGATTATAGTTATTAAGCTTATCGCTTTGATGTACCTCTAAGGCTATCTACTAATTCTGTAATCCATACTGTTTTTATTAATGGCTTTAAGACCTGATCATGGTGGTCAGGCTTGCTTATCATGATGACTGAATATCTCATATTTAGTCTGTTGATTTTTAACCCGATAGTTTCAGCAAACGTTTCTCAGTTTTTCCCATTCTTACAGGCTCTCCTTTGGATTTTCATTTGATGTTTGGTAGTGAACAGATTAAGTGAATTTGAGAGTGGTTAATTGATACTTAAATGATTATTGGGAAGTGAATTTCAGGTATTTTCAAAATATGTGGGTCTTCATATTTATATAGTCTTATAAATTATGTCATCAGCAGACAGTTTTTCCATATTTTATAACGTCCGAATATTTTCATTATCAACCTCAGTATGTTAAAACTAATACCTAAAACAGAATGATACTTCAACGTTTGGTAACTAATTGTGAACGGTTTAAGTTCTAGTTTACATTTATTGGATAAAACTTTATGAGGACACAAGTCAAAATTTTATATCACACTTTCTTCCACAGTACTCACTTATATTCCTTATGTATACCATACTGGAAAAACAAGTGTTTTATTTTATCACCTAGCACTTCCTTCGGTTCCTATCATTTTACGTTTGTGAATATTTTTATCTGACTCATAACTAACCCCTGTTGTTTTCTTCTAATCCTGACCACTATTCGGATAGCTTGTGGTTGTACAAAACGATATGAATACAGAAGTGTGTGGTTTTCGTAGTTCCATACGGTTCCATTAGATAAAGCACACATCAGTAACATTTGTTATATTTTGCGAATAATTCTATATCAATATATTAAGTTACAAAGGACAACAGGACATTTAATGATGACTTCTTATATTTTTGAATTCTTTTTCAGCACCATGCTATAGGAACATTTAACTTTCTGAATTCAGAAAGACGATATGTAGCTGCAGCTGTCATTCCTCCTCGTCGTCTTGATGTATATGATGAAGCTGATAAAAAAGCCACGCATCTACTATTGGAAAGAGAGAGTCAACAATCAGACGAAATACCTCTACTGAGTCCAACCAGCACTAAATTGTTGGAATCCAGTGATTTTAAAGGAGATATTATTGTTTCGCGTTCACCTTTGATAAGTGGTAATACACCATCCTCCACGTCATTGCCTTCTGGAAGCGAAGAAAAAACATGAACTTAGCACTTTAATGTTTGTATATATGTGATTAGACATTAACACGTGTTTTTACCCTGTTGTTTCACTATTGTGCATAATAAACACCTAGATAGCATAACTCTGTTCTTAACGTTGTATGAGCAAATAATTATCTTTTTTGTTTCTTTACGTTAAGATAGTTTTTTTTTTAAATAAAAAAAACTCGTTTAAGGAGATACTGAGATAAATTTTTCTGGTGACTATTTCACAGTTTTAGACCCCATCAAAGGAAGTTAAAAATGCATACTTCTTTTTCACTTAGATCAATAGCCTAGGGATATTAATTCCACTTATTATGTTATATGTTGAAACTTATCCCATTTACCTCGAATCAAGCACCTGGATCTATATCAGTGGTCTGTACACAATGAATGTAAAGCAGAATCCAGGATAAAAGCCCATGGAGTTTTTCATTATCGAGTTTTGGAGATTGTTGAATGTCATTGAAGTTGTTGAAATAACCCCTACTTCATTCACGTCACTTTTTGGGTATTGAGTAGACGTGAGTTTACCTGCAGTAGTTTTTCAGAGCAATAAAATAAATAGAAACCTTCAACTATTCAACAGTCCCCATGTAGTTAAAAAATATATAACATTCATAATAACAAGGAATATATATCATAGGTTCTGACTTAAGAAGTCATAAAAGTCAGGAATGAACGAGAATTGCAGTCACAACATGAGATAACGGTTTTAAGGTGTCATAAGTCACTTGACGTGTAAATTTATTGAGCAATGGATTTTAATCATAAATGGAAAGGAACGTGTTTACCACAAAAGCTGAATTTGATGAGTTTCATTCCAGGAGGTGTAGCTTTTACAATGCTAAAGATTTCATGGTAAAATGGAGCAGAACTTCCATGTTTACCGTTACTCGAGTGTCTTCAAATGATTCATTGTTGGATAGCAACCACCAAGTTGTCTTTCTAATACCACCAGTTTTGCATCAATATTTTAATATAGATAAGCTGATCATTAATTCAGTGTGTGCACCAGACTGTTTGACAGGGACAGATGACGAGCCATATATTTGACGAAAGATATCTGAATCACTAAATAGAATTGTTTGGAAGACAGTGTATTTGATAACGGTTATTAAACATATTACTAGTGATAAACTCAGGTAGTTTTGTTGCTCATGTGGGTAAGTTGAATCTCCACATAAAGCAATTATTCTTTCAAGACGTTGCATAGAAAAAATTGTTCATTTTGTCAAAAATAGGCTGTAAGAGTATTTTTGTATTTTTTTCTTTGTAGTTGTTAACTAGTAATCATCACTTCGTCGTAAGTACTTTAATTGCTGTGATAGTTGAATAGTTTTAAACACATTGAACTCCTTCATCACTTCATTCCATAGGACTTTATTTTAGTCCACTTATTTTGCAAATACTATATCGCACCTTTAGTTGATTTGTCGTTGTTGGTTACTATGTATGCATGACAGACTCTTGCATAATCATAGGAACGGGGGATGTTCTTGTTGTGTACTTCGTTTTTTATTAATCTCAACATATTCATAGTTTTATATAGACTGATTGCTTAAATGACATGATTGTGTCTAGAAGAAACAGAAACTATCTTTCACTACTTTATAAACAAATAGGGGGATGGTTTTATCTACACCTTTTAACATCCACTTCTACTTCACACTGTGAAAACTTATTACTTCGCTGGTGTGTAATTTTTTTGTGCTCATTTATCAGGAAGTTTACCTTCTATTAGCTTTTAAATATCGTTCATACAGTAAATGTCTTAACCTGTATTTCTTTAACTTGGTTTGTTTATCATATTAGGGTTTCTGCGATTCACTAAATGACACATAGTGTATTGGAGCACGTACTTTAAAGAGAAGTGAGCTATTGTTTGGCCGCGCAATTTCGTGGATTGGTTGAAGTTAGACATTAACACCATTGGATGCCGACTCAGTGGTAGTAGGTTAGCGTTCGCGCGCGAGACCGAAGGCCCTGGGGTCGAGTCCCACGGGCGGGGTCGTGGATGCGCACTGCTGAGGAGCCCCACAATGAGATGAAACGACCGTTCACTGCTTCCAGGTTTTCAGTGGTGGTCTAACATCAATCATCGGTTCATGATCGTAATAAAAAACTGTTTAGAAATTGTTATAGCTTACTTTTATTTTAAGTACGTGTCGGTGATGTCCAGAAGAACAATTAGAAATTCACAGCCAACCTAGCCAACTCTGACATCACAACAACTCCAACATCCTCAACATCAGCTGCAAATATTCTCCATTAATGTTAAGATACTTGGTGTGTGTATGTGGATTTTACCTCGCACAGTTACTATAGTGCTTGCTCATGTTTGTGACATTTGAACGTAATTAATTTAGAATACCATTTCATTTCAGATATATTAGTATTCCAGGAAACAAATGGTGTATGTGTCTAACTTGAAACACTTCGTAGTATTGCATGACCATCTTCTATTGCCTACGTGAGATAAATGTCCCACACCCAACATGGCTGCACTTCACTAGTTACGATTTCTCACTAGAACTCTTGCAATCGCACTTGAGAGTTAGCCACCAATGAGCACAGTGTTGGATATCAGCCAAGTGGTCTAGAGGTTGACCGTTCGTGCCTGGGACGGAAGATCCTGGACTCGACCTCCCTCTAATGGCGTCGTGGACGTACACTGGTGAGTCCAATACTAAGAAAATGCCACCACTCAGTGCTTCCTGGTTTCCAATGATGGTCATATTAAAATCTTTTTGGACATACTGCTAATACTTTGCCAACTTCACCATTACCTTCTCGCCTTATCTTATTCCAAATTTCTATGGAAATGATGACATGATAATTGATCAGGTGTATAGTGTGATCAAACTGTAGATGTATTTTGTCTTGCGAATCCAAAGTTTTCCATAGTTTTGTTGTCAAGTTTATAATTTATAAAATTTTCTCACAAAAGATGCCTCCAATTTTGTTTTGAAATAAGGCGAAGAATCAATGAAAATGAAACAAAGTGACGACATAACCAGTTACACGATGAAAATTATATTTGTTTTTTTATTTTGTTGAGAATAAAATTTCTTATTTGTTCATACTTTATTTAATCATCATCTAGTTATTCAACAGAATTTGTAATGTCGTTTCATTACGACGGATTGCGTTTACTGGTTGTAATTTTCCGTCAAAATCTACTGGGAAAACCCATGAATGTCTGGCATCATTTTCAACTGAAATCACCAATGAACGTAAAGAGAATGATGCCAGTTCACCATGGGAATTAGACAAACCTAAACGTATTTGGCCCAATCAATTACCCGTTCCTATCGAAGTTGTCACACCACCTTTTTCAACAACTGTAGCGGCTACTTCGAAGGCGCCACTGATAAAAGACTTTTTCAGAGGCCAAGTCAATCTGGTACTTTCGATTGGTCCATGTATTATTATTATTATTGTTATTATTTTTACTACTATTATTACTGACAATTGCATTGGTGATATTTTTACACCTAATAGAATTCGCATAACGTACTATTTGAGTCATAGTCCAAAAGGTCCATTCGTTGTAACATTACTGTACGTCAAACTAATGCACTGAGTACGGAGATCATATAAACATCTTTAGACCCATTTGGACATTTCGATTCCATATTTATTACAAATGAACTCATTTCCACATGGTTGCATTGTAGAATTTTCTTCGACAGTATTGGCATAATTGTATCAAAATAAACCACTTAATACTTGTATTAGTTTCGACATTACATATATTGGCCCTCATCATTGTCCAGTACTTGAAATATCGACAATTGCTACCTTTGAAATTGGGACTTGTGTCTTGCAACGTTACATTTGTAGGTTTCATTGCCGGTTATTTCAAGTTTTAATTATTTCTCAAGTAACAACACACTATGTAGAATAATTTATTATCTAACGATATTATGAAAGTGTGATTTTATATATTAGGAAAATGATAAATTTCCCTAATCATTCAGTCGTGCTCTGTTAATGACTGTTCAGGATTTCTACGCCAAAGACTAAAGATTAGTTTCGGTTCTCTAAAACTCTGTCAATTCGAAGGTTTGTGTGGAACATCGCTTTAATCGATTTAATGTTTTTCAAATTTTACTTTTTATTCAATACATTCCATCCATTTCAAGATATGTCCTTCGTAACTTTCTGCAATACAGAAATTCTTTAGATAATTAGAAAATAAATAAATAAAGTGGTTTTACTTGGCGATACTATGGTTTTTAAAAAAACTGAATTGGTCCCATATTTGAACGAAGTCAATTATATGAAACGCAACCTTAAGCGTGAACTTATAAGCAATATCTTATCCTAATAATTTGGAATTCTTAAAAAATCCATTTGATTTAATATCCAAAGTGTTAGAAATCTGTTTCATGTACGCTTGTCATTAATGCCTTGTAAACACTAACCTTAAGAACTCCTACAGTCTAACCACCTTTCGGCAGTCAAATAAATGAGGCTCATATCAATCAATCATGAATTTTTTTATTATATGGTGACTGGTTCTCACCACAGTTTAATATCTGCAGAAATACCATTAGGTATTTAAAAGTATATAACAATAATCTACTCCTATTCTGGGTTTGTTTGGATGCATGTTACCATGATCCTTTTTAAATTCGGAATTAGAACATAGATGCATCAGTTAAGGTTTTGTACTGTTCATGTAATCACCACTAGGGAATATCTCCGGGAATCTGGAAACAATATTTTTCTACAGAATACAGGACTGCATTTGTTGTATCAGCAACTAATAAACTGATAATGACTTTCCTTTTATTTACAGGAATTGTTCGAATTCCTAGAATTACAAACTAGACGTGAAGTAGATGTTTTAGACGCTATGCACAATCAAATCAAGAGATTCATACTCAAAAGTATGTGCTTTTTTCCCAGTGATTTGTTGTTTGATATTAAAGTTAAGTGGTGCAATCAATTTTTAAAGGTATGTTTTGACTAATATACATTATATCCTCCTGG